AAAAWKGSMWTSMAARRAAARRAWWAAWWAAAWWAAGAAGAAAGGAGAGGAGAAAAAAAGGCGCTTTGTCGGTTACTATCGGTCGTTGCCATAGTTACTTGGCCAGCGGTATTCATATCTTTGGAAACGAAGGACGCCATCTTGTTGTCATTGCAKTTCTTGYAGGCTAGTCCAGTAGCAAGATGTCTACATTTGGCAGATCAAAAGGAGCTCGATCAGGTAAATAGTATACTATTTTTTAACCGGAATGCATGCAATTTGAGTTTATAAGATAATTTGTTGTTTTAGCTTCTCCTTTACGAAGTACTTCGCCTGGAAATCTCCGTCGCTCCGGTAGCTTTGGAAAATCCGGTCGAGGTCTTGCTGCGTCGTTCGATGGCTCGAGTACTGCTGCCAAGAGGTAAATGCASGACTGTATGAGCACTTTTAATTGAAAATAGATCATATGTGTTGGTYGTATTTTAAGTTATAGATTCCACGAATTAGGTAAAGCTAAAATCAGCTGAATACCGAAGTTGCTTGRTTTGTTTAGTTCRTGGACTSTGCAACTGATCATGAACTGATAGAGTTTTGCTTTTTTTCCACATTACTGSCATAACTTACAATAATCGTACTCAAAATTAATAGACAGCTACTGTAGCTGAATTGGTTCATAACAGGAACAATGACTGCTAAAATTACTGGTCGCTCGTTAGCTTAAAGTTTATGATACAAAACTATTAAGCTTAAAAGTTACAGCTTTTGCCAAAATGATATCAGCGGTTTGAAATGGAGTCTACGTTAAACTGATTGCAGAAATTGATTTTGCTTATAATATTTTAGCATTAAAATGCTTAGAGTCCTCAAGCAACACAGAATAAACTGGCACTAACATTCTCCATCTATTCCACAGCAAGCATGTTAGATCATCTACAGCTGACGTAGGGAACATTGAAAATGAATACATCAGGAATCTGCAGCAACAAGTTTACTTTCTWGAGCTGGAGACTAACTATCTGTATCCTTGTGTAGTCAGGAGAAACAAAGTAGATTTCTGAAAGGGTCATAGTCAACAATGCAGCCATGTTTTAGATTTTTCATATATGGAAAATTAGGTTTCTTCAAACATCCAAGCACAATTTATTTCCATCCGTCAGTTTTAAAGAATTCCAACCAACCACAATACTGCACACACTTGTGTTATTGTTTATGTTTAAATGTGTCAAGCATACAATAGATTATAGTACCTATTTTTATGTCCTTGGCCATAACTACAACTTGTCAAAAAAAAATTGATTTTTCTTGACCATTTCTAAAACAGACGAGAACAAGCAAGGAAAGCCTCAGGTAGAAACAACTTTTATATGATCAKTAAACCTTCGTATTTTAAGCACTGATATCCTCCAATTAACTCTCATTGGTTTTTGTATTGTTTTTATTTAAAGTGTCCTTTATGCAYTAAATTGAGACATTTTACTTTTATTAACCTTCTAAGTTTTGAAAATATTCTCTACACTAGCAAATTCAAACGCAGTCCTTCTGCACATACACTACCTTCATTATTATTTCTTAGCATTTCAATTGGCTGATTGTACTGTGGTCTATTGTATTCATATTAGACAATACTCACATTAAAAAAAGGCAATTATTAGTTAATTAATAGTTAGAATAATTATTTTATATGCAGTTATYCCACCAAGAGTAACTGAAGAAGCTGACAGGATGATGCGCAAATTGCGAGACTTGCAATCCCAACTGGATGAGCGSTCTAATGATGTCAGCAGRAAAGAGTCCAAACTACTTATGCTAGAAGCTGAGAAAGATACAGCAGTCAAAAGACTACGTGATGTTCAAGGTGATATGAGTGAT